CCCCCAGATACAAATAAAGATTTTTAGCTCATCTTAACACCATAAATTCTAAAATTCAGTTCACAATGGAGTTAGAGGTAAACAATTAAGTATTTTAACAGTGGTAGAGCCACGCGCCTGTGCTGTTGCACGCATGGGCCGGCTCAAACCGGGGTAGTACCACGACCTTAGAGAAGACCAGCGTAGAGGCTTTGCCTTTCGTCTGGTGAGTGCAGGCTTGGCCGGAGCCCCCCCCCTCTTCAACATGGTAGCGGAATTAAATGCAAGACTAACCCAGGGAATCCCTCGATGAGCATCGACGACCAAGCTACTCCACTTCTGATATCAACAAGTCTGATATTGTGCTGAAGACGTGTTCTCCGGAGTTGGCACCGGTTTGAACGCGTTTTTTCCGGTACTCCTACTCCCTCGGCGTTGTTCCGAAATCATGGAAGAGAGCTCTCGTGCATCCGATCCCTAAAAAAGGTAACTGCTCTGATCGGTCCAACTATTGGTCTATCGCCATTACCTCCTTGTTCTCTAAAATAATGGAATCCATTATTAACAGCCAGTCCATGCAGTACTTTTAAGATCTCCAGCTGATTAGCGACCGCCAGTACGGTTTCCGTCGCGGCCGCTCGGCTGGTGATCTTCTGGATTACCTAACTCATAAATGGGCGGAGGCAGTAGAGTCCAAGGGGGAGGCGTTGGCCGTTAGTTTGGACGTAGCGAAGGCCTTCGATCGGGTTTGGCACAAAGCGCATCTTATGAAACTTCTTTCCTATGGGCTTCCCGAAAAATTGTGTGATTGGATCACCAGTTTTCTCGCTGATCGGAGCATCGAGGTCGTAGTAGACGGTGCATGCTCCGCACACGCCGCACAAGCCCATTAAGGCTGGTGTTCCACAAAGCTGCGTGCTATCACCAACGCTGTTTTTTCTGAATATCAATGGCATGTTGCAAACCATGTCATTGATATGCAGAATGAAGTAAGCACAACTGATGAAATAAAACAAAATTTTTATAAGTATTTTTTATTGTACTGATAAATCAAATATTATAAAATAGGTAACAATATATAATTAATATAAAATTTGTATAAAATTATGATTAATTAGAAATTATTAATATAAAACAGATAATAAAATATATTTAATAGATCATTCATGAATGAACTCAAGTAAGAATAATTAATTATTTTGTATGAAAGTTAAAACGTAGTTTTTATTATAATTTCCAAAATATTTAAAATCAGTGGTTACAAACTAACTTACTCCATTAATTATATATAGTCTCCCATTGATGTGGGATAATCACAAAGGCGGAAAAGTACCAACATTGAACCTAAATCGCAACATTAGTTAGTTTTATTTAATTATTTAAGATTTAATACGTTTATATAAAAACATAAACTAAAACTTATGTGTGAAAAGTGATTCCGCTTGATTTATTATGTTTTTGTGACCTTCAATCGCATTCTTTCACTACGCATTTACCCATTTTTTGTCGCGGATCGTTCGAATCGTTTGGATCGTCGGCCTCACATTGAACACTGAACTGACGTTAGCTAGGCATATGGCTGTGGCCATATGTGCACGTTAGCTGTCGACTGTCATGAGGTTATTGATCAGTTTAATGACAGATATTTGAATTCTGAAATGCTGTGTTAATCTTATCACTGATAGCCTATCAGGTAGATTTATTATGTACAATGGCTAAAATGTCTCGAAACTTGGGGATGTGCTATTTTGGTCTTGGAACAAGTAACATTCTTGTTGATATTTGCATTTCAATATCAATGCAATCCAGGAGCTTCGAATAAACAAAAAAAATATACTACCTACATAATTTCATGACTCAAGTCACTTGTCAGACATGGACATTTGACATATCATCATAATCATCAAAAATTGGGATTGCATTTTTATTTTTGGCATGTTATTTATTTAGATTTATTCTCTTATTTTATTTTTAGTAAAATCCCTGAATTTTTCGCTTATTTACGGTATAGTGTACATATACTGGGCCTGAAGTGGACCGTCTCCTACTTTGAAATTGGGTATATTAATATTCGTGCTATGGTAGCTCAGTGGCTAAGCAAACCGGGTTCGACCCCGCTGGCAACAATGAAATTGTTAATTGCAATTTTAAGTGCTGATTTACTACGTGTTCGGCGGTGAAGAAAAACTTAATGAGGAACCCCGCATGTCTGAGAAATAGGAACTAAAACAATATTTCGGAGTCAAGTTAAGTTTGCCACCACACCACGCATTATGGGCAGCGCGGCGAACATTTCTTTGCCCTAAAAACCCTCTCAGAAATGAGAGGAGGCCTGCCCAGCTGTTGGACGAATATAGGCTGCAACTTTATTGGCGGCAAATATACATGTATCTAATCTAGCGCGGAAATTCCAATTCCATGAAGTGGTTGTTGACTATCTAAGATGAAGACCAGTAGTGTCAGCGACATTGCTGGCGACTAGATAAACAATATTCTGATCAAAACCCGGACTCTCACAGAATACGAGCGTAAAATAGCAGCTTAATGCTGCTGTGTTTCGTATGGTGAGTGTACGATACAGTACATATCAATGAATCTTTTTGAAACCTAGCGCTATGCTCAGTTTAACCTACATTTAGTGTCTACCAACGGTTAGGTTTCTAACGGTTAAGTCATCGGACAATGCTGTGTTCATGTCAAATGTTTACGGGGGTTGTCAGGAAACTACTAGTTATATAAAGTGAAGAATAATATGAACAAATATTAAAGGAAAATATGGTGTTTATATATTTAATACAACAAATATCGTTGATATCTTCATCCATGGTTAACCATGCGAAAAGGTATATATTTTGTAGGTTAATTATCCTTAAAAGTTTTTAGTGTAATTTCATAAGCAACAGAAATTAACCCACTAGGCAAGTCCTCCTTTGACCACGTAGTCAATCAACTAATGGAACTCGATGGTGAAGTCCAATAACGCTCAAAATCTCGAAACAAGTGTACAATCAGTGCGTGTTGCCAGCAATGACCTACGGAACCAAGACATTGTCCTTTATTTATTTTTTGGATGCATAAGAAAGCTTAAAGTAGTTCTGCAAACTATGGAGAGGGCTGTGCTCGGAGTTACTTTGCGTAACAGAATCTGTGTTGAATATATCCGCAGCAGAAACAGGGTTACAGACATGGTTTAAGGTATCAGTAAAGAATGCGCCATAGCTCGAAGAACCGGCAACCTATGGAGAAGAAAGGTTCCCAAGTGGCAGTCTGTAAGCGGAGCGAGGTGACTCCCCACTACAAGGAGGTCGAACGATCGGATAAAACATGTAGGATGTTGATGTATTTAGTTGGCACAAGACTGTGACAGTAGCTAGGGGAGGTATACCTTCAACTACGAATATGGACTTGTGACGGGTTATAATAGAGATTCAAATACAACTAATGTTAAATAATTATTCGTCGCCAGGGGCCTCGCAAATTTGATCTTGCCCACACCAAATTTAGGTCTTGCTCCGCCACTGTAAATACCTATAAAATTTACGAAATTCAATTAACCACTCGAATGTCGGAGTCAATTTGGCCAATATGGCGCATCTGTCGAGCACTTTCCCCTTTCCCAAGTACTAAGTATATAATATATATATATATATATATATATATATATATATATATATATTATATTAAATAAGCTATCAGATTATGCATAACAGATATATATGTTATATATATATATATATATATATATATATATATATATATATATGTTATATATATATATATATATATATATATATATATATATATATATATATATATATATGTTATATATTGTAGCGTTTGACAGATGCGCATATTATTTGAGACGCCAGAATATGCCGTTTCGACAGACGAGGGGTTCCACTCGAATGTCGGGGTCATTTTGGCCAATATGGCGCATCTGTCGAGCACTTTCCGAAGTACTAAGTAAGTATATAACAAGTATACTAAGTATATAATATATATACTAAGTAAGTATATTAAATCGTATATTAATGGAAACGTTATTAAATAAGCTCATCAGATCAGATCAGATTATGCATAACATATGTATGTTATATATAGTTTGCTATCACTCGACGCCATATTATGGCGTTTGACAGATGCGCATATTATTTGAGACGCCAGAATTTATGGCGTTTGGACAGACGAGAGGATATGAATTACATGCATATATTTTGGAGTCGCTCAAGTTTATTAAGTCGCTCATCGGTAATATAAAGATAATTTATGTCAATATAATCGATATAGAGTATTTATATAATATCCTAGATTTGGTGAAGATGAGTAAAAAGAAGTCCATTCTTAGGAGTGGTTTACACAAGCTCCAAACGTTTTATGACAAATCCGTCAAAATTCCCAAGTCAAGGTCAAAGTTAAATATTACGGGATTTCATTTAGTTTTATTTAATTTGGAGATTATTCTTGAACTACCAATAGTTATCGCTTGAGATTTTAAAAGATAAACGGTTAACACATACGAACGACTCTAGAAAAGGCACGCTAGGTTCTTGTTAATTATCGCAAATAGCTTTGGGGAGATCCTCTATGGTTGTTCGTAAATATATCTGGCAATCATAGGCATACAAGTGGCAGAGAGAAGATATTTAGTAAGTAATGGAATTTATTAATTTTGCAAATAAGAGAGCAACGGTATCGAGCTATGACAACGCTGTGTTTCATCCGAATATGTTGTCGATGTCCATATAAGTATACGAAACCTATAAATTGCAGTTGAAGATATGTTAAGAGAACACGGGATACCATTTGGAATATCAAATAGTAGAACATAAAATAGTAGAATTTTATTTCCTACTTGAAATAACTTGAAATATTTTGTTTAAAAAATGGTGCCTATTGAATTTAGATTTTTTTTATGAATGAAAATGAAAGGCATTTCTTTCCCATAAAAATTTAATTGTATCTTAAAAGTTTTTTTATACATGTCTATAAATACTGGTCGTCCTTCTGATCGACGTTTTTCCTTACCAAATTCTTTGCTGAGCTGGAAATAGCACAAATATTATTATAATTCATTCATATTTGACAAAACGCTGAAATTATTTCGAACATTCATGCTATTTTTACACAATATTTTTAGCGTAAAGCTACCAAAGTTTTGAAATAAAAAAAACTAAAGCTGCGTTATCTTATAAACTAAGTAAACCTATACCATTCCAAAAAAGCCTCGAAAGAAGTGAAATTGACCTCTGAATAAGTTGATTGCAAGTAGGTAAGTATATATTCCTCATCATACATATATGTATATATGTATGGTGCCACTTGCCATCAGCTACTGGTAAAAAAATTATCTCTTTTGAACCAAGAAGTGGCGGTCAAAGAATATCCTCTACCCCATATCGTCCCGTGGGTGTCGTAAGATGCGAAAGAAACAAAGTTTTAAAAAAAACGGTTTCCAACCCACCGGCCAAGCGTGGTAACTAGGACAAATATCCCTCTTATGAGACAACCTATGGGGACGAGACGAGGCAATCACGGGTTCAGCAGTATGCTTGATAGGCTGTAATGATGATGATGTTTAATCCTTTTTTGTAGAATAAGGGTGTCAAACGAGCGCACAGTCCACCTGATGGTAAGTGGATCCTGTGGCTTATAGACATCTTCGCGTAGACAGTATCGCGCATTTATAGGCGTTGACACCCCTGAGGACTAAGATGGAATGCCTCGTTTCCAGTAAAAAGGGTCTCTGGTTTTATACACTCATCACACGAAACACAGCAGCATTAAGCTACTATTTGACGCTGGTATTCTGTGAGAGCGTGGTCCCTATCCGGTCGAGCCGACCCATTCTTGCTACAACCATACTACTAATATAACTGCAGCATGGCTCCATGTAGAAAACCTGAAACCCTTTTTTCCGGAATCGAGGCACTTGCCGTCAGGTGGACTTACACAGTCCGTTTGTCACCGTTATTCTATAAAAAATGTTTACAATTCTAGGAATTTTAGGATATATTGTGCTGTTACTATTGACATTAAAATATCAATGCACTGAAATATATTTTGACCGTTTAACGCTGGTGTAAGAATATCCACTCACCCATATCATCCCGTGGCAGTCGTAAGAGACGGCAGAGGGAAATTGGGGGGTCCAAATTAAATGCTGCAACCTGCTCGCCCAGCTTGTCAAATATTGCAAAATACCCCTGAGCCAATCTATGGGGAGACCATGTACAGCAGTGGACTTTTATAGGCTCTAATGGATGGTATGAATGGAAAACATATTGAACTCTGTGTGCTACCTTCAACTTCCTCTTCTTCGCAACTGTCCGTACAGGCACGAAGTTCATTTACAGAATACTTATCTAAGCATTCCTGTGGAATTCGCTTGCTCGCTGCTCCCTGAAGTAATATTTTATGAATAAAGTTTTTTTTTAAATAGTCAATTGGAACAGTTTACACAATTCTACATACACTCGTCCTAACTCTACCATGCCTGATGTAACCCATAAGCAATAAGGCTGCAGGTAGATATTGTTCGCACAAAGCAAGGGCAGGATCACAATATGAAACAGACTCGAAAACTAACAATTAGTGTTTTAAGCAAGAACCGAAGACCCATAACCTAGTAGAGCATAACTCCTCATAGCGTGATAATATTTTTTATTTATAAAAAATTGTTCGCACTAGGATTTTTTCCTGTATTGTGCGGCTTTCACACATAAATGTCACAATGACAAACATCCACAGATCCGGAACATTTATTTGTAGGCCATATAAATACTTGTTATGTGCGGGATTCGAAGATGCGGTCATTAACGCTTCCACTCATTGCTAATCCACTGTTCCACGGAGCCATCATTGAATAATTGAACAAGAACAAACGTCCATTAGTTCCGTGCGAGATTTGAATTTGTGTCTGCGGTCCTCAGCGCCCCAAATTAAAGAAGTCCTTAAGAGTTATATTCTTTAATTTGGTTATATAGTATAACTTTCAAATAAACTTGTCGAAATGATACGCGCGCCACCTACAGTACGTTAATTGAACTATGCCTATAACCTTCGCGCAAGTGCAAGCAATAAGTTGACAAAGTTTTACCGCAATTTGATGAACGATATGGCAGCGTATAAAACACCAACAAAAAAAAACATAAATTTTTATATATTAGACTAGCGATATGCCTCGACTTCGCACGGCTGATGTCTGGATTCTACAATAATGTCACCTACCGGGTCCAACTATACCTTCGCGGAAGTGCAAGCTATGTGTTGACAAAGTTTAACCGTGATCTGATGAACAGTATGGCAGCACATAAAATACGAACAAATAAAAATTATTTTTTATATATTATATTAGGTCCTCTTACATATATTTCCACAGGCTGGCCGTTAACGATATGATGACGGAATCTAATCTGGTAACCCTCAACCTGATTGTCTACGCAGTCTCCTTCACATGGCAACCAGTCGTCCCAAGCTGACATGGGACAATTAGGATCCGTGTCCTCAGAAGAGATTTCTATGTCAACGCTGAAAAAAGGATTTGATGGTGAAACTATAAAACACATAGTATATACATAATATATATTTTTCACATTTTAATTTTTTTTCTATAAAAAAATAACTATTTTAAATACAAAAGCCACAGTGGCTCGGGAGTAATAATTTAAATCGAGCCCCATATACCTCTGATTTGCTAATCTTTTAATGTACACAAATTACTTTTGTCCACGTCCACGTCCTCGAGTTTTAGGGTGGAGCGAAATACAATTATGGCATCCCCCTTGATTATTCCAAAACTGTACCAGTGGTACGTTCAAGCATGGAACTGGGAAGATCACCATCTCAATAGCATTTTATGTCTCTATAATTTTTCATTTAAAAATAGCCATGATCACACGCGTCTCAAAGATAAAACGTTATTCACATATCACATACCCAAAAGCGAAAAAAATATTTTGCCTTTTGGAAGGTCACTCCGTGGTATGGTAGAGTCGAACCCGAGAGTTGTGACCATATAGCTCACAGAGTTATGAACCGTTAGGGAATAATGACTCCCATTTGACACATCCATAAGGCAGAACCTTCGGGCAGAACACATGAGTTCTGCAGTCTGATGTAGATGGCTTCGGGACGTATTTTATAGGATATTGGGAACCCATGATGATGGGTTGCAGCGATAATGACAAATCTCTACATCACCCGTATGTATAACATACAGTTAGTCTAACCGTTGAAGTATTATCACTGACCTCCATTGTACAAGTACGCAGTATGATGCATTACGTACTCATGAACACATAGTACCTTAATAACTCTAAAACAGTTTGTGACAGTTTGTGCCATTTGGTAACTTACTCGGATTGCGTAGTGGATGGTGAAGTCGTAGTTTCTCTTTCAGTGTTTGCATCTGTAACTAAACATTACCTACGTCATTTTCAGCAGCAACCAGAAATAATCATAAAGAAAGTTTTAATTTTAAATAGACTGTGAAGGAATTCTCAATCAACGTGTGCTTTTCGTTCACCTAAAAGTTTGAGATATTATAATTTGGTTCAAAACTTCAGTCCCATATTAGGTCGGTATCATAGGTTTTGGAAGAATAGTAATTCGACGATTAGAAAACTTTAATAAGGATAATATATAATAATATATGAGTATTGTTTTCTTCCGTTCTATAAACGTTTGTCAATTACACAGTATTTTCTATTATTAGTGCCAAAGTGTATGTATGTATTCGCTGATTAACTTTTTAAACTTTCGCACATAAGGAATGGCATTTTTTAATCTGTGCTTAAAGGGCAAAGGTTTTAATATGATGAAGTTAAAAATGCTTCCAGGATAGAGGTTTTTTTTTCAGAACCAGTAAAAACTGACTAAAAAATTTATAATTTGATACTACTGCCGTGTTAGTAGAGGGAGTTAACGATCATTGTAAATTTCACAGTACGCGATCAACCCGAGTTCGATCCCCGCCGGTACCAATGAATTTGTTAATTGCAATTTTGAGTGCTCGTACACGTGCTCTGCGGTGAAGGAAAACGTCATGGGGAAATTTGCATGTCTGAGAAACAAAAAAATATATTTTGAAGACATGTGAATTCCGCTGCACTCATTAGGGCAGCACGGCGGACACTTCCCTGCCCTAAAACCCTCTCAGAAGTGAGAATAGGCTGGTGCCCAGCAGTGGGACGTATATAGACTGTAAATTTACATTACTTTACTACTTTTTGATAAATATTGAATTGAAATAAGAATCTCCAGATCTGTTATTGTCTTTTTCTGTCAAGACATTCTCCGTAGCAGCCGGGAGTCAGGAGATGGCGGAGTATCACCTCCATGCCTCGAAAAAAAATAAAAAGCCGTTAGTAATGCACGTGATCTCTCTCTTTTCGTATCCCATTGCCGTTTCAGCACTTTTACTATGAAAGTGAGGAAATAGAGAGTGCACCTGTGCACTATACATACACTAGTGCATTACAATCCAGTCCTACGCAGATGGCCCTCGTTATGACTGGCCACCGTGACCAAATTGCGGTGTGCAGGAAATTAAACTACTAAGCCACAGCTTTAAATGTCAATGTTATATTTAAAAAAAATAAACATATTAAATATGATTTCACACGTACCCTCATTATCAACGACCTCAGTGCTAGACTCTGTATTGGGAGTGCGGTGGTAAGTCCTTATAAGATCGAACTGCAATCGAGCGAAAGGCCGTACTTCCTCTTTTGGCACATTCGGGTTGATCACTGCCGTGGCTATCGGCTGCGGCGGCATTGTTTCTTCGTTTGATGACTGTAAAGTTTTAAAAAAAAATAAATAACACCTGATTGTGGGTCACTAGCATGTTTCTTTCTATGTTTTCTTAGTAAGTATCGGCCGAATTAATACGCCTGATTTTAAATTACTTGTCGTTTTGGGTAAATCAACTTTAAGTCCTATTCGATAAGAGTGTAAAAGTTGTTCATCCTAATATAATAATCCTAAACGCAAATCGTCTGCTCGTCGTGTTGACAATTCACACACAAATTGACGATCGCAGAATCTGAGTTTGCACTTGCTTGCATTTTAAAGGGACATATCAGTTTACTTTTTGCATGCTGATATTAAGTATGCTTATAATCGTGTAGATTACCATTATCAGCCAGTAAATAATATCAGCATATAATGCAATATATTTCAGGAATAAGTGGAAAAAATGCCCTACGCGCTTGATAAGCAAAGGCAGTTGAGGAAGCGATTACCGCCGTGTCATAACTGTAAGATACCTACCGAAACCATCTCATTTTGTAAGTGCTCAGAAAACCAAGTGACTGCCGATAGGTTACATTGTAACCATTTCTTATTTATACCTATATATTTTCTATGATGTTGGTGCTGTTCTCATCTCTGACTCAATTTATACCAGATATAAAATAGTTAGACGTGCAAAAAGTCTAATACTGTGATTGTAGATTCGCTTAAAATCGTGGGATGGATCAAATCTTGAGTCCTATTAGATAAAGAAGAGGATTTCGGAGATCCTTCATAACCTTTATTGTGGTAGTGAGGCACTCCATCTTAGTCCTTAGGAGTGATAACGTATGTGATTTTTGTTTGATCGACCGGCGATGGATGTTAGTGTCTAATGGGCTATAGCATCCAATTACCATCAGATGAATTGTGTGCTCATTAATTACATAATATACTTCTATGATATCTAAAAATCGACGAATTCTTAAATAATATAAAAATGCCCTGAGTATTATTTTAGAAGAATTGAATTATCTGCACCTTGTGATATCCACCTGCCTTTAATGATAAATCACGAAAAGGAATAGCCGTTGTTTTACACAGGCTTCTCAACGGATTGTATTCCAATCTAGTGTCAACAATGCTCATCAGCGGTGCTAGCGAAGTTGGCTTTCTAAAATCTTTAACATCTTTTTTAAAAAAAATGTATATTCAGTTGACCTTACGTTGAGATATTATATTATGTTATTCATTTTTATATTTTTCTGTTTAGCGTTAATGATCGTTGTAAGTCGAATGGCCTGGCTCCGTAGATACGTCTATAAACGTTGAACACAAGTTTTTCCTCAATTCTGTGATGGTTATGGAGCAATTTTTCCCTCGCACTGCTCCGATGCGTGTTGGTAGACTTTATATGTCTTCCAAATATTTATTCCTCAGATTTGAAGATTCCCTTCACCGCTGATCACGTGGTGAATCAGCAAATATAATTGCACTCAAGAATTACTCGCGTGGTGTGTAATTTTCAGTAAATGCTCCGCCCCTTAGTCACCATCTTTAATTTAAACTTACATCGAATTTCTTCCCGCTGTCGGTGCCAGCGTCCATCGGATAAAGGTTCAGGATTAAGCTATTAGCCCAAGTATTGCTCATGACGTCGCACAGCTCCATATTCGAGACGCCGAGGAACCAATCGGGAGAAGGTATGAGAGCAGTGACCAGCGACACCAAGTGGTGTTCGCGGGTTACTCGGAAGATTGACTTGGTCTGCATGATAGTCTTTGGCGGCGCGACTGCTTTTATTACAGTTCGGACGTTGCGACCAAGCTAAACATTTAAAATTATTAACATTATCTAATTGTCATAAAAAAACATCTACATTTTTAAATCAAGTTTTGTACATATTTGGAGCTATTAAAAAAGGTATGTGCAAAAAATCGCTATAGTAACATGCAACAGAGGGAATCATACCAGGTCATGGGTAGCAGTTCCTTACGACAAATTGATGATAAAAAGCTGCGTTTGCCAACCAGCCTGCCAACGTGGCAACTCTAGCAGATATTCAATAGGCCATCTAAGGGGAGTAGAAACGCAATACGATGTAGGTAATAGGGATAATAAGGTTTTAAGGAAAAGTAGCTACAGCCTGAAAGGGTCGATGTGTTTGACTAGGTACTATTCAATCTCATTGTAAATGATGATGTAGCGCACTGACTTAACTTTTTTATAGGATAATGGCACAATTACACTTGGTCGTTAGCTTGTATTCGATTGACTATGGAATTCGGACAAACGACTAACAGCCTGGCCACGGGACATTCGCCGTAGCGAAAATTCGCGCGGCGCGACCGGCGAGGCGTCTAGCGACTAAAACAAATGTATAGAAATGTATGGATCAAGCCACGCGTAGCGGCGAGTGGCGACAATATTTATGTTAGTGACGAAATTTACCGGGCGAATCGCGCGGGCGACTGGCGGCGCGGCGGGCGACTGAAACAAATGTATGAATCAGTACGGTGCAAGCCACGGAGTCGGGCGGCAGACGCAGCGAATAGTCAAGGGAACATAATATTTTAGTTGTTTTCGCCGCGAATAATGCCGGGCCGACAAAAATAAACTTAAAATTCTATCCGCATTAACTTTTATCTCCAATTCTGGTTGAATGTAATACAAGAATGTAATCGCAGGTTTCGACACTCATTCTGGTATTTACTCGAAATTTTTTTCTAGATGCATTCTATTTGTTGTGGAATTCTCCATATATATAACCCGATTCCTATTCAAATCATGTACTCCGCAATCTCTTCCAAATATTATGTCTTGAATCAAAAAACAATTACTTTCTAAGCAATATCGAGATAACTTTGATAAAGACATTTCACTCTCGGCCTATCTGGTCGCGGCGGCAAACGTGACTTCCCGACTTCCCGTGGCCCTCAAATCGCGCCACGCGAATTGTCGCCCCGCGTGTCGCTTCGCCGTTCGCGCCGCCGATCCCCGTAGCCAGGCCGTAAGTGTAAATGAACGGAGTCGAGTACGTCCGTCTTCGTACAGCTTTCGTTTTGGTTTTATTCCAACAGAGAGATAACTTCAATGACGAGTAAAACAATGTAAATAATGTATCGGGTCGAATTCGAGTAACGTCTTTCGTGCACCCGAATAAGGGCTAACAACCAAGTGTAATTGCGCCCTGAGGGTGACAAACGAGCACACAGTTTACCTGATGGTACGTAGTTGCCGTAGCCTATAGACATATACATCTACCCTCAATTACGAATCAAAATGCAGATGCGTTTTCACACGTGCGAACTAAGATGGAATGCCTCGTTTCCAGTATAATGGATTTCTGGTTCTCTACACTAACCATACGAAACACAGCAGCGTTGAGCTGCTATTTTACGCTGGTATTCTTTGACAGCGTGGTCGTTCCTCATTCGTGCTATAATTTAATACTAATACAGCTGCAGTATAACTCTCACGACACGACAGAAAAACAGATGTTAGCAAATCATTCCACTCCCATTACATTCCATTGACATTGCTTATGTCAATGGAGTAGAATAATTACGAGCGACGAAGTGAAAATTAGGTTCGTTTGCGTTGTAGGTCCACGCTGTTGTATTTTGAATGGTAAATGCAGAGGACCGAAGACTTTTTGTGTAAATGGACCATAGTACCCATTTACCATCAGGTGGATTGTGCGCTCGTTTGTCACCCTTATTTATATTAAAAATAAAAATAATACATAATAATAAGTACCTGGATGACCGAGCTTTGCTCGGTATTTTTTTTTTTTTTTGAATTCGTGTGTTTTGGAAATTATATTTAGATACAAATTACATACTGATGAAATATTAATAATATTTTTTGATCTTACCGACATAATAAAAAACCTAACTGGTTATTTGAATAAAAAATCATGAGTGCAATTAGTTTAATTTGAATTTTCGTGTTTTTAAAAAATACTTAAAAACGGCTCGAAATCATAGATTTTCTCACAAAAGAAGGGAACTTGAAAAAAAAGGCAAAAAAAGTCAGACCGAAGACAGGGCGTGAACCAGAGCACTGCGAATTTGTGACGGCCCGATACCCACATGAGCTATTACGATCATTAATAAAGTGTCAAAATTTAACGACTTATATTGTGGCAGTTTTTCATTGCCTGAAAACACGGTAAAACGACATTTTCTAAAAAAAAATCCTAGCTAGATCGATATAGTCGTTGGAGCCGTTTCCGAAATTCCAATTATATATATACAAGAATTGCTCGTTTAAGGGTATAAGATAATAAAATATTTTTTCGTTGACCGAAACCAGCGAAACGTGTAAAAAGTAAAAGTAATACGAAAATAATGATGTAAGAGGGATAAGGAAAGTGCTCTGACTCAGCATTTGTTGCAAATAATCTACAACGCTGTTATTCTGTCATGCAAATTGCTCAAACTCACTTGCTTCATAATTTCAATCTCTAATTGCGTAGTGTTTCCCTGTTCAGCCAATCTCTTCAGACCCTCGCTAGCGTCGGAGTTGTATTTGAATACGTTGTATTTGCCGTTGTGTGACGCTCCAACGACGTCGCTGAATCGGGCCAAGTCCCCTGATTCAGGAAACAGCTGGGAATGTGTGTTGTATGACCACATGCCCTCGAATGTAAGCTGTGATAAGGAAATTATTATTAAAACAAAGAACCCGACTGCAGTGATATATTAAGATTTAAAGAATGTATCCTCCTTCCTATTTAACTCCCCACTTTCATTATCACTTGTGAAAATCGGGAATTAGTTTAGAGGGCATATATACAAAAAATATTCTCTCCTAAGCTGCAGTCGGGTAAAAATGGAAGAAAATTTGAACATTCATCTAATTAAAAACAACGCCAATAATTATAATACTTCATCATTATTCAGTAGATACCTTTGACCAAGATTTACTCCTCGATAGAAAAAAAAATCAATTTCAATTACACATATTGAATATCCTACTTACAGAACATAATGATGATGACTGTAAGGGTGATAATAATAGGTGGTTTGGTGATTGAAAAACGAGTTAAAAGTCCACCTAATAGTATGTAGCCTATAGACAACTGTAAACGTCTCAAAACTTTACCTATTCATTAGGATTTTCTCCTGTATCGCGGGGCAGTTTACATATATAAATTTCACAGGGCACAAACATATCATATCATAATATTATATCATATACACTCACGCCTGTCACCCAGAGGGGTAGGCAGAGACTACGGACTTCCATTTGACACGATCCTGACATACCTCTTTCGCCTCCTTTACATCCATATATCAAGGCATACATGCTCGTCGGTTAAGGGTACTTTTAACGTGGCCCATTTTCAAAATATCGCCAATTTGGTCGATAAACTTGTTTCTAGGGCGTCCCTCCCGATCTGCGTCATTGAAATTTGCTTTGTCACTCTTTCCTCATTCATTCTTTCTACGTGACCAAACCACCGAAGCATTCCTTTCTTAATCCTGGTCACAACATCATCTTGCATACCACATTTATCTCTAATCACGCAATTTCTCACCCTGTAATTCAGATTCAACCATACATACTCCTTAAAGACCGCATTTCTACAGCATTTATCCTACTTTCGTGCTTCTTCTGCCACACCCAGCTTTCACTACCATACATTAAAGTAGGGACTAACACAGCATTATGAATTACCATACGTGCCTTTTTTGATACATTCTGGTTCTTCACAATAGAGTGTAGTACCCCATTCACTCTATTCCCTGCATTTACTCGTTGTTCTATATCCTTATCATATCTACCATCCCTGCTAAATACACATCCCAAATACACAAACTCATCCACTTGCTCAATTAACTCTCCTTCTATTCTTATTTCACATACCGTTTTGCTTTCCTTCTCTTTCAAAAACCATCACTTTCGTCTTGCTTGCGTTCACTTTCATTCCCCTTTCTTTTAATTGCCCAGTTCATTAATGTAACCATCATTTGCAACTCAGCCGCCGATGACGCAAATATGACTTGATCATCGGCATATAAAAGGCATTTGACGGTTAACTCGCCCATTCTTAACCCAAATTCTTCATCTTTCAAAGTTTGCAAACACCTGTCCATAAATAGGTTGAACAGCCACGGGGAAGCTGACACCTTTTCGGATGCCAAACCAGTCCGAGTAGACCCCATTGATCCTGACTCAAGCACTAGAATCCCTATAAAGAGACCTCAATGCCTGTATCAAACCAGTGCTCAACCCATATGAGTTCAGTGTTTGCCATAACACATTACTGTCCACTCTGTCATAAGCCTTTTCCAAGTCCATGAACGCACAAAAAACTTTCTGGTTTTTAGCCAAAAACTTCTCCGCAATCATGCGCATGGAAAAGACTTGATCTGTACACCCCATACTCTTTCGAAAACCCGCTTGCACATCCCAAATTTTTCCATCAGTTTCTTTCATAACTCTTTCAATTAACACCTTAGCATACAGTTTACCCACAATACTAAGCAAGCTGATACCGCGGTAGTTTTTGCAGTCCTGCTGTGACCCTTTTCCTTTATATATTGGTACTATAACTGCTTTAAACCAGTCATCCGGTACCCGTTTTAATTCCCAACATAAATTAAACAAGGTGTACAGCAGGCCTGCCACCACTTCCTCTCCAGCCCTTAGCATCTCGGGTGATACTCTATCATATCCAAATGCCTTACCTGCTTTCATGCTTTTCATTGCTTTCATTATTTCATCTACACTTATCTCCATACCCCTTTCCACTTCTTTCGGAATTTCTTGTTCATTTAATTCAGACGACTCTTCACTCATAAACACGCTTTCAAAGTATTCCTTCCATCTGTTTAAATTCGAAACTTCATCATTCAGAATACATCCATTCTCGTCTCTTATAGCATAAATTATAAGCTGTTTTGTATTTCCCCTGGCAGTTCTTACGAGTTTCCAGAACATTTTTATATTAGCCTGGAAATTATCAGATATCCTTCTATCATTCTTATCCGTTCTTTCATTCTTTTTCCTTCCAACTACTTCTTTTACTCTCTTATTTATACGTCTAAATTCTGCCTTTTTTCTTTCAATCTCATCATTCATACCTGAAGAATTATCAGCTTTGGTTGCTAGTAAATCTAACCATGCTTTCTTCTTTGATGCAACTTCCACCCGTACCTCATCATCCCACCACAACGTATTCCATTTCCTTTCATTTGTTCTCTTACTTACACCACATACTTCGGTGGCTGCATCCACCAAACCTTTCTTAATATTATCCCACACGGTATTCAAGTCTAAATCATTCATACACAATTCATTCAAACACCTAATATTTTCTCTCAGTCTGCATTTATACTTCTCTTTCACATCTTCATCTTGTAACTTCCCTATTCTTATACGCTGTAACGCAGTGGTAGACACATATGTCCGATGCCGCCAACGCTTGAAAAGACCATTAATTCGACATAAGACCAAGTAATGATCCGTCCCTACGTTGGACCCCCGGTAAACCCTTGTATCTACGACTGCGCTCCTCATTCTTTCATCCACAATTACGAAATCTATCATGCTTCTATCATCACCTCTTTCCCATATATACATATGAATCTTCTTATGACGAAAAAAAGTATTCGTCACAAAGAGATTCTTTTCCACACATACTTTGAGGAGGTCTTCACCATTCTCATTTATACTTTCATCACCAAACGTTCCCAATATCCTTTCATAACCAGACCTCATCACCCCAACCCTTCCATTAAAGTCTCCTAACATAACAATATTTTCATTTTCCTTACATTTTGTCAACACCATCCTTACCATGTCCCAAAACTGCTCTCGGATGTAAGTAGGCTTAGACATGTCTGGGGCGTACACCCCTAGCAAGAACAGCTTCTTTAAGCCCACTTTCATTCGTATCCATAGCAGCCTCGGGCTTACACACTCATACTCTTTCACACATTGACCCATTCTTTCTGAAAGTATGAAACCGACTCCCTGGCATGCCCGTTCGGTCTCGTCTACACCAGACCAATACGCGGTATACGTGACATGTGCAGTGGCATCCTTTCCCTTTCGTTTCGTCTCATTTACACATAACACATCTATTCCTCTGTCATTCATCATTTCGCATACTTCATCCATCTTATCATTTATTGCTCCACATACATTCAGCGTAGCCAGACGGGCTTCCGCAATCCACTTTTCGCCCCTCCGGGGGACAGAACGTGACGAGTGGCGAACCTCGTCGCCGGCTTTTCTCCCGGAGATTCTTCGCATCCCTGCCCCATTAAAGGGGCGCCGGGAACTCGGAGCCATTTCTTTTATTTCCTGACTCATGGTGCGAACAAGGGGTGGTGGTAGATTTTACGCCGCTACCACACGGCGGGAAGCCGAGTCTATTTTTCGGCTTGGTCACACTTTTAGCACCACCCGGGGGACACGTATAGGGTGGGCCTAAGGTTTGGTGGTCGAAGCCTACGGACGCGAGCGACTCATCCCCAAGGGCACAAACATTCACAACATTTCACAAACTTTCTACAAGTATTTGTAGGCCATATGTAAATACTTGTACTGTGCGGGATTCAAACTTGCGGCCCTTAGCGCTGCAACTTATTGTTAAGCCAAAATTTAAATATACGAGTAAATTACAGATTTTACATCACACCTTAGGGCTTAGATAAAATAATATGTACAATGTGGAACAAAGCAATGAGTACACTGTTGGTTGGCGGCGAAAATAAAAATGATGGTGGTAACAAAACGGAATTCGTACCTCGCGGAATAATTTGCGAAATACGCACCAAACATCGCATCGGACGCCTTCTGTAGCGTTGCTTAGGTAGAAAAAAAGCCCTGTCATCTTATAAAGATGGCCCTTTTTAGAGTGATTTTCCTCGAAGAATAATTTGTCAAATACGCTCCAAATATCGGGTGTCTTCTGTAGCGTTGCTTAGGTAGAAAAAAAGTCCCGTCACTTTGTAAAGATGGCCCTTTTTAGAGTGATTTTCCTCGAAGAATAATTTGTCAAATACGCACCAAATATCGGGTGTCTTCTGTAGCGTTGCTTAGGTAGAAAAAAGTCCCGTCACTTTGTAAAGATGGCCTTTTTTAGAGTGATTTTCCTCGAAGAATAATTTGTCAAATACGTACCAAATATTAGGTGTCTACTGTAGCGTTGCTTAGGTAGAAGAAAAAGCCCTGTCACCTTGTAAAGATGGCCCTTTTTAGAGTGATTTTCCTCGAAGAATAATTTGTCAAATACGCACCAAATATCGGGTGTCTTCTGTAGCGTTGCTTAGGTAGAAAAAAGTCCCGTCACTTTGTGAAGATGGCCTTTTTTTAGAGGGATTTTCCTCGCAGAATAATTAGTCAAATACGTACCAAATATCAGGTGTCTTCCGTAGCGTTGCTTAGGTAGAAAAAGGGTCCTGTCACCTTGTAAAGATGGCCCTTTTTAGAGTGATTTTGCTTGCAAAATAATTTGTCGAATACGCACCAAATATCGGGCGTCTTCTGTAGCGTTGCAGTGATCGTTCTTAGTTGGCAGCATATCTAGAATATTCCTTTGGTCTTCACACACACGTTTTGATAGCGGACCGTCCTGTCTATACCATACATCTCGTTTAACTGCGACCACTGCGTTAATCGTCACACATTTGTTTTCTTTCTTTGGTGCCTTCCAATATGCCTGAAAAATTATCATATGAATTATTTCGGAACTGAAGTGAATTCATAATCAGAAGAAGCGTAGTCATAGGGTAACAGCGCATCTACATAAAATGAATATACTAACATGTTTGTATGCAACAGTGGACTTATCACTTGGGCAGTATGTGTAAACAGAAATAAACTTTAAAATATGAGTAGCTCCGGAAGGTAAATAAAGAAACAAGTAATAAAATTTTGTACAACCGACTTCAATATAAATAAAATGAGAACATCATCAATGTATTCGAAGTCAATTAAATACGCATTATTAAAGGATAACTCAAAAACTACTTGGCAAATGTTGATCAAATTTATATGATACCACAAGCAAAGAAGGAAGCACCAGCTTTCAGATAAAAATGAATCACCAAAATTGTTTCACCTAGAGACAAGTTATGAGGTAACACACATAAAAAAAATACAATCAAATTGCATACCTCCTATTTTTTTAAAGTCGGTATAAAAGGTCACAAACCATCGTACTCTTATAGTCCATGTGATGATAAGTGCAATACTGTAGCTATTCTATTAGTTACTACACTAACCCGCTTGTGTCGGAAATGTTTTTTTAAATTCTCGGTTTTGTAGGTTTTGAAATCTTTTCCTTGCCCGCCGCGCTAGGCATGTGGCATTAATTTGACAATGCAAGTTAAGTTAATTTGTATGAAGATAAGAGTCGAACTTGGTTTGCCCATGTACTAAGAAATAAGACCGAGCGTTTGTTCCCTTAGTCACACAGCCTCAAAACGGGGTGGTACCACGACCTCACAGAATACCAGCGTGAAGTAGAGGATTCCTCAGCGTTTCGCTTGGTGCGTGCAGGTGGTCGAAGGCCCGATTACCCCCCCCCCCCTTAACATGGTAGCGGAATGAAATAAAATAACTGCCCCAGGAGGTTACTAGCACCCCTGGTGAATCCCTCGCTGAGCATCCACGACCAAGTTATTCTACTCTTTCTGAGCGTGGGTGCTCAGGCTGCCCAGCATATTCTGGGGGGGAGGGGCGCAATTCCGCTCGTGACAAAAAATGCTCGGGGCAAGCGGAGCAACAACCCCAAGGCGATCCACGATGATGCCACGCTATCCGTGAAGTTTTGCAACATCAGGGGACTTCACTCCTACCTTAACGCTATCCACCACCATGTGGAGACGGCGACGGAGTTTACAACGCCTCGGCAGTTTTGAAGTACGGACCTGTCCGTACTATGGCTGCGCGTAGACAGCGACGACCATCCCCGCGTCTCACATAGCGGTAATACCGAAACAGACCGCCTCATCGACTACGTCCAAATAGCTATGGATTCCGTGCTACAGCAGATCCCATCCGCAGAGATCGTGATCCTTGGCGATTTTAACGGCCAACACGCCGAACGGCTCGGTTCATGTTTAACCGATCATGCGGGGAGATCTTTTATGACTTTTCTTTGGCATATGGTCTGACACAACTGGTTACTGTGCCTACATAGATTCCAGATGTTGAAGATCATAAGGAAGACATCTTCCCTGTTGGACCTTCTGCTGACCTCTCATCCGGACGGATATCCGGTTTCCGTCAACGCCCCTTTAGGCTCTTCGGACCATTGTCTTGTCCGGAGTGTGGTGCTAGTCACATTAACGTCGCGGTTCCATTCTGCAGTCTGCCGCCGTGTTTCGCACTATAGGTCTGCCGATTGCGATGGGATGCGGTCTTTTTTGCTACCTTTGGGGTTTGCTTTTCGTCGGACGATCTTAGCGTTGTTGCTGATTTTGTCGCTGATGTGGTACTTTAGGGTATGGAAATTTACATTGCGTCCTCTGTGGTGCCCATCGGAGGCAGATCCCAGCCATGGTTTGGTCGCTTCTATAAAATAGCATTACGCTATAAGCAGAAGTGCTACCGGGCCTGGGCTGACCCATCAACGTGTCGAGGTGTAAACACCAGCACTCTTAAAAAGAAGTATAAATCCGCCTCCAGGTCCTTCAAAAGAGTAATTGCCAAGGCAATGTCAGAGCACATCGGCAGAATTGGCGAGAAGCTAGTTCGGCTACCTTCGGGAACCCGTGCATTCTGGTCTCTCGTCAAGGCTGTCCAAGGGAACTTCTGTCAGTCATCTCTTCAATCTATGCACAGAGAGTACGACTCAATGGCCCATACCGCAAAGGAGAAAGCCGGTCTGTTAGGCTCTCTCTTTGCTTCTAACTCGATGCTCTTGACAGCGGGGGAAACACCGCCGACCATCCCGTCGTGTGAGTGCTCCATGCTGGATGTGCGTTTTATACAGAGATTGGTTTGCAAAGCACTCCTCTCCCTGGACGTCAGCAAGTCGAGTGGGCCTGATGGAGTCCCTCCCATTGTGCTGAAGACGTGGGCTCCTAAGTGGGTATCAGTTTTAACGCGTCTTTTCCGGTAGGCCTATTCCCAAGGCGTAGTCCCGAATTCTTAGAAGACAGCTTTGATCCACCCGATCCCTAAAAAAGGCAACTGCTCAGACCCGTCCAACTACAGGCCTATCACCATCACCTGCGATTTATCCAAAACAATGGAGTCCATTGTAAACTACCAGCTCTGGACAAACTTCTTTAATTAACAAAGTCTAGGATTGGGGGCGACTAAATCTAGTCCAATTAAATCCCTAGAAGACACAAGTTTGCGCGTTAATCGCTAAAAAGAACCCCTTGGTCGTATCTCTTAAGTTTGAGGGCACTCCCCTTGCTGCCTCAGCTAGCATCGGAATCCTCGGCGTCTATATATCGAATAGAGTGCGGTTTCGTGGTCAATTGGAGGGAAAGGCCAAATTGGCCTCTAAAAAGCTTGGCATGCTCGACAGAGCGAGACAGTATTTCATGCCGGCACATCGCTTGCAAGTTTATAAAGAGCAAGTTCGGCCTTATATTAAATACTGTTCTCATCTCTCACCCCAGTTCCAGCTCCTTCCACTTGACCGCATCTAGCGCAGAGCAATTCGAATCACTGGCGCTGCGTAGGGAAGATGCATCCCTTTGCGTTTTCTATCGTATCTATTATGGGAGAGTATATAGGGGAGTGTTCTGAGGAATTGTTCGGATTAGTTCCAGCCGCCAAATTTCACGAACATACATTGCGTCAAAATTCTCGATACCATCCTCACCATCTGGATGCTTTGCGGTCCACCACTGTGCGTTTTACTAGGAGTTTTCTTCTTCGTACAAATTCACTGTGGAATTGTTTATCACCGGCGACTTTTTCGGACCGATACGACTTACGGACCTTCAAAAAAAGAGCTTACTCCTTTCTTAAAGGCCGGCAACGCACCTGCAGTTCCCCTGGTGTTGCGGTTGTTCATGGGCGGCGGTAGTCACTTACCATCAGCGCCGCATGCTCGTTTGCCCTTACTTCTATAAAAAAACATTTAATTAAACCTAAAAAAGCAACTTTTTTATCATCACCTCGACAGATGTCTTAGGCGTTAAATCAATCTGTATAACAGAGTTACTGCATTTCTTGTTCGGCATTGCATCTGAATTGGGAGTCGGGTAGATCAAACCCGCGTCGAAGTAAGCAGTCTTCATCGGGTTCTTGTCGTGCGGCTTGATATCCCCTCGAGCCCATATCGTAAACGCGATGAACGTAGACGAGTTGTCAGTTGTAGAAAGCCTGACTGCAATGAAGCAAAGGATTACAACATCAGAAAAATATAAATTTCAATGTATTTAAGTCCATACAAAAGATCGTAAAATTCTCTCCGAAGCTATGAACCGTGCGGGATACATTTATAATAGCCTTGCTACGAATAGTATATTCGGCCACACGTCGAATAGCGAATATTCTGCGAATTTCCTGGCCGAATAGCCGAATATTAGGCAAAAGTATTCGGCCGAGAACGAAGTAATGTTTATTCTTCAGAACGTCTATACTCTGCAGCTGGGATTGTCTACAAGAAGAAAGCCTGAAAATGGAGAAAAGTCAGTCTTTCTGCACCATTATCTTTCACTTTAATTACGGTAATTCGAGTGCATAGACATATATCTGATAGTCCTTTTTTTAAATTTTATAATGTGGACATGTATTGTGTGGTGTACCCATGACTACTTTAATGATTACAAAAGAAAAATTAATTATAAAATAAATATTTTCATTTTACCAATTCTCATTACAATAAAACCTCTTACGTTACTCAGTATACGGCAGAATATGATAAAACTAGCCAAATATTGAATAAAAGCCAAATTTTCGTTGCAAGTCGAATTATTTATAACCCTACTCGTCTTACCCATCATCTTCCATAAAATACACAGATGTTACATCCAAATTCAAAAACAAACCTCACCCAATGGTGTGTTTTTGCAAAATTATTAACAACCAGCGACCCGCTCCGGCTCGTCTGGATATAATATATTAATGTGGCGTTATTTTGTTTAAGATAGTCAAAAACCATTTTGTTTTTGTTTTGACAAAAAATAATTTACCAATTTTAGAATAAAATATAGTCTAGATCCCTCCTGACTTTTAGAAGATTTATTCACAATCTGTTCCAGCATTCCACAGATTAGCCAGACAGACAGACAGACTAACTGTCAGTAATTTAAAAAATACAATAATGTCTGATCTTAACAAAACTAATTATTTCAATAACACAGACACTTTAATTTTACTAATTATGAATAAATGTTTAGAATTAAACTGAGTCCACGCAGTTCAGTATCCTACAGATAATTTCATGGCATCAGATTGGTGATTACATACCTTCAACGCTGCTGCCTGTCGCCGGTTCGAGTACTTTACATGTGACTTAATCGATATGGTACAACGCTATCTGTTGGAGTGCATAGCAGTTTTCCGACATTTCGCCTCTTACGACTCCCACAGAATGAAACCGTTACCGTTACAGCCTATTAAAGTCCACTGCCGAACATTGGCCTCACATGTAGATTGCCTTATAGAGAGGATATTTGCCATAGTTGCCACGCTTTGCAAGCGGGTTGGCAACTACAGTTTATTTTTTATTTTTAGTCGTTATTAGGCAGACACAAGTTGTGTCTGAAGTCGAGTCTTTGCTGAACAGAGTCTCGGATTGGGGGCGACTAAATCTAGTCCAGTTTAACCTCCAGAAGACACAAGTTTGCGCGTTAACCGCTAAAAAGAACCCCTTTGTCGTATCTCCTCAGTTTCAAGGCACTCCCCTTGTTGCCTTAGCCAGTATCGGAATCTTCGGCGTCGATATATCGAGTGACGTGCAGTTTCGTGGTCACTTGGAAGAGAAGGCCAAATTGGCCTCTTAAAAGCTTGGCGTGCTCAGCAGAGCGGGACAGTATTTTTTTTTGGCGGTGTGTCGGCGGGACCGGCACACCACCTGCAACTTTACAAAGCGCAGGTTCGGCCGCACATGGAATACTGTTCCCATCTCTGGGCTGGGGCTCCCCAGTACCAGCTCCTTCCACTTGACCGCATCCAGCGCAGAACGGATCAAATCGTCGACGACCGAGTGCTTTCCGATCGGCTCGATTCACTGGCACTGCGAAGAGATGTTGCATCTCTTTGCATTTTCTTTTGCATATACCATGGAGAGTGCTCTGAGGAATTGTTCGGATTAATCCCAGCCGCCAAATTTCGTGAACGTACTACGCGGCAAACGTCCCGATATCATCCACACCATCTGGATGCTTGGCGGTCCACCACTGTACGTTTCAAGAGGATTTTTCTTCCGCGTACAACCTCTCTGTGGAATAGTTTACCACCAGCGATTTTTCCGGACCGATACGACCTGGGGACCTTCAAGAAAAGAGCGTACTCCTTTCTAAAGGGCCGGCAACGCACCTGCAATTCCCCTGGTGTTGCGGTTGATCATGGGCGGCAGTAGTCACTTAACATCAGGTGAGCCGCATGCTCGTTTGCCCCCTCTTCTATAAAAAAAGACACTGCTGCCCACCGCCTGATTTGTTTCCCTCTGTCGCGTCTTACCACACCCATGGCATGATATGGGTTAGTGGATGTTCTTACATCGCCACTACTCTGAAATTCTTACACCAGAACATAATGAAATGAGGTGGTGGATTTCTTAAACCGCCACTTTTCAGCATATTTAATATAAAGATAAAGCCAAAGGTGGTATAATTAATGAAATTACCAGTAAAAGATAACAAAACAGTTATGTCCCGGGATATTGACTATGGTAATGTCTTGCAGTGGGCTTTTAAAAGGATATAGTAATATATTGTGGCCGTCGGTAAGGCGCCTCGCTGACGGCAGAATCGTTACACTCAATAGCTCGAGGGTCCTCACTCACGAGTCTATTTTGATGAAGCTGTAAAGGCCGCAGGGCCAACAGCATACACTTTCAGAAAAAAAATATCACACGGAGCGTTGGCCGCTCCACCTTGCCCGGCGGGAGATTTTCCCTTTTCCTACCTCGGCCACAGTGGTGACCACTTGACTTGATATGAACACGAAACCAACAACCTTCTGATACTATAATTTCAAATCTTCGTCATTATCCTCAAGAACACCTATCATTCACTCCTGAAAATCGTCTTCTGCAGTCTTCAGTTCCTGCAAGCCAGTCCAACTTGTCTTCTCGACTTACCGCAGATTTATAAGGCAGACTTCTGGCACTTGCTCCGGCACATAGTTCTCACAGGCATCACTTGCAAGTGCGTAGTAGGCATGCATTACACACCGGCATATCGTTCGCACTGGCGTCACTTACACTTACGCACACAGCATGCATTCCCCACCGGCATTAAATACGCACCGGCAATCGGATTTTATAATGTTCAGTGCAACACTGGAATAGTAATGCTTCCTGTTCCTTCAAGCTACTCTCTGCTCTACAGTGTTCGGCAGGGCTCTGAGCCATACTGCTCGCCTTGCTTCACAACACTCTCGCAGATTACTTGCCTTCTTCTCGACTCACCGCAGACTACAAGACAAATCCCCTGCCACTTGCAAATTCGTCGACAACTAGATTGCAATATCGACCTCCGGTCTGAGCAGGGGGTGATGTGGCGGCGCTGTCGTCGCGCCACAAGCGAAAACACATCGAAGCCTAAATCGCGCAATCATAGTTCCGAAGTGGAACAGTATATCCATATTAATATTTGTTGGTTTGTCCTGATTTCACGTCGCAACAGAGCGTCGGCATGGCATGATTTTTTGTATGGCGATAGTTCGGTGGCTGTAGAGTGATATAGGTTACTTTTTTCCGCGGAAAAACATCTCATTCCCGTGGGAAAATAGAATATGTTGCAAAAGTTTGTCCTTCTTTAACGTCGCAACAGAGCGTCGGCATGGCATGAATTTTGGTATGGGGATAGTTCGGTGGCTGTAGAGTGACAAAGGCTACTTTTTTCAGCGGAAAAACATATCATTCCCGTGGGAAAATCGAATATGTTGCAAAATTAAATTGAGCTAGGTAGTGCCACCGTCATTCTACAAGACGGACGACGGTACGATGGACAAATACAGAAGGTCAGAATATCTAGATTATTATGTCTATTTTACCAAAATTAAGATAAAAAATGTATGGATCTGTATTTTTCCACGCAGGACCGGGAAGGGAACGATAAGAAACATAAAATTCACCAGCTGATTTTCTTCAAACGTTTTGGTGCATTGTAATTCACAGAATATTCGATAACCTCGCAGACGATATTAAGTAATCCGTTGATGCTCTGCCTACCCCGCAAGGGTTACAGGCGTGATTACAAATATGGATCAGAAATACCATCACCACCTGTCACGCTTTCACCCTTAACATTACTTAACTGTGGTAGAAACAGTTCTTAGTAATCCTATTAATTTATAATATAATTAATTATTAATAAGCCTTAGTAATATTTATTGAACGGAAATGAATACGGTTCTTATATGTGGTTATGAGTGAATCGGTATTACAATAAGAAAAATTGTGCAAAATTATAAGAAAAATATTTTTTGAGAGTTCTTATTAACAAACGTATACATAGTTTAAATTGATTCCGCTAGATGTCGTTACAAGGTTTTTAAAACGCGGTAAAGAAATGTTTCCTGACATGTACTTAATTCCCGCCGTTGAGCCTCGCGTCAACTTATAGTGCATACGGTACCTATACGCTTAAATTGTTTCTATTTCGTAGCTTATTCGACTACCTGCTTTCGATTTCGGTTGTTTGTTATTTGCTTTTTGATTTGGTTAAGGTTGAATGGATTTATATTGGCTTTCATTTTCGGATTTGTGTATTTTCTTTGATCGGTTTTGTTGATTTGGTTGGTATTCCTTTATACATATTTAGACTCTGGCTTTGATTTTGGATTTTGTTTATTTAGAATCGTGAATTGGTTTTCGTTGTTTTAGGTTGTTTAACAATATTTCAAAGGAATATTAATAGTATAGATAGTATATACGGTACCTATACACTTACTTCTTTTTTCGTTGGTGATATTTATATTGATTACTGCTTTCGATTTCGGTTTTCTGCGATTTGTTTTGTGATTTGGTTTAAGTTGATTCGATTTTTTTTGGCTATCGTTTTCGGATTCGTGTTGTGTCTTGAATTGGTTTTGTTGTTTTGATTTTAAAAAATATTTAAAAGGAATATTTATTCCTTTTAGATATTTTGGATTTGCTTTTAAAAAAAATATTTAAAAGGAAATTTAATTCCTTTTAGGTATTTTAACGTTTTTTTTATAAATAGGTTTTTTGTTACTTCATAATGCTTCGCAAACGTAAGTCCAGCCTTTCAAGAGTATCTTCTCAAAGACAAGCGAAAAGATTAGCTCGATCGCTAGAATCTTTAGAAGATGCTGAACTGAGAAGGCAAGAACAAGCAGAGCGTCAGGCTGGTTTTTGAGCATCTGAGACACCTTCTCAACGTCAGCAAAGGCATCTTGAACAGACAGAGCGTCAGGCTGCTTTAAGAGCTTCCGAAACACCTTCTCAAAGTCAGGAAAGGCGTCTTGAACAGGTAGAGCGTCAAGCTACTTTAAGAGCTTCTGAAACACCTTCTCAAAGTCAGCGAAGGCGTCTTGAACAGGCAGAGCGTCAAGCTACTTTAAGAGCTACTGAAACACCTGCTCAAAGTCAGCAAAGGCGTCTTGAACAGGCATAGCGTCAAGCTACTTTAAGAGCTACTGAAAAACCTGATCAAAGTCAGCAAAGGCGTCTTGAACAGGCAGAGCGTCAATCTACTTTAAGAGCTACTGAAATACTTGCTCAAAGTCAGCAAATGCTATTCGAACAAGCGGAACGTCAGGCCGCCTTAAGAGCCGCGGAAACACCTGATGAAACTCAACACAGACTCATTGAGCAAGCTGAACGTCAATCTACTATAAGGGCATCTGAAATACCAGAACAGACACAGGCGCGAAGAGATGCAAATGCGTAGCTCCAAGCTGAACGTCGACAAAATTTTCAAAGAAACAATTGGTCGGTTTTTAATGACGCAGCATTCAATTATGATCCGTTGATTGATTATAAAAATCACAGGTTAGTTGTTATCGGACTGATGGACAAGGCGTGTCGATTTTGCAGCGCTTTAAAATGGACAGATGAGACCGCAGGCATGTGCTGTTCCAATGGCAAAGTGTCTCTTCCGTTACTAGGGGAACCAGAAGAACCTTTGAAAACTCTCTTTTTATATGATGCTAATGAGTCACGGCGCTTTTTAAACAGGATCCGGAAATATAACTCATGCTTTCAAATGACGTCCTTCGGAGTTGACCGGGAAATAATAATGCCGGGATTTTCGACTACATTTACGGTGCAAGGGCAAATTTATCATAGAATAGGTTCACTTTTTCCAGCTGAAAACGAACAGCATAAATTTTTACAAGTATATTTTATAGGTGACGAAGAAATTGAGGTAGACGGTCGCTGCCAATTTATCCAGGGAGTTGAGAGAGACACAGTGTTCAAAATTCAAAGATTCTTGCATGAACGTAACATTTTAGTCAAAACATTTAAAACTGCTTTAGAATACCTACCTGAGGAGGATTATAAAGTCGTCATTCACGCAGATCGGACCCCTCGAGGAGAGCATGAAAGGCGCTACAATGCACCTTTGATAAACGAAATAGCAGCCGTAATTAGTGGTGATCAATTTTCTTCACGAGACATTGTCTTGCGAGCACGTGATGATACGTTGCAACGGGTAGCCGATACACACAAGTTTTATGACGCTCTGCAATACCCATTGATTTATTGCAAAGGACAAGAGGGTTATCATTTTCAAATTCCACTCATTAACCCGGTCACAAAGGAGCCTACTCCGAACAAAAAAGTATCATGTATGGATTTTTATGCGTATCATATGAAGTTGCGAGAAAATGATTTTAACCTCTTAGCCCGGTGTAGACAATTATTTCATCAATTTTTGGTAGACATGTATGTGAAGGTAGAAAGTGAACGTCTCCGTTATATATCTTTAAATCAAAAAAAGCTGCGCGTTGAGAATTATATACATTTACAAGATGCAGTTTCTAGCGACGCCAATGTAAACCCCAGAGATTTAGGTAAAATGGTAATTCTGCCCTCATCATTCGTTAACAGTCCCCGCTACCTACATGAGTACACACAAGACGCATTCGCCTATGTACGAACTTACGGAAGACCTGATCTTTTTGTTACTTTTACTTGCAATCCCACATGGAAAGAAATAACCGAGGAGCTAATGCCGAGCCAAAAAAGTACTGACAGACACGATTTAGTTGCTAGAGTATTTAGATTAAAAGTTAAAAATTAATGTATGTAATTAATAAAGGGAAAATTTTCGGAGAGGTGCAGTGCTTCATGTATTCAATTGAATGGTAAAAAAGAGGATTACCGCATGCCCACATTCTAATATGGCTTAAAGAGAAGTTGCGGCCCAGCCAAATAGACGACTAAATAAGCGCCGAGATTCCGGATCCTGAGCAAGATAAAGAATTGTATGATACCATCGTCCGAAATATGATTCACGGTCCATGTGGAGCACGAAATTCAATATCGCCATGTATGAAAGAAGGAAAATGTACAAAGAAATTCCCTAAACAGCTATTAAAAGAAACAGTGCACAATGACAATGGCTACCCTTTATACAGACGCAGAGCTCCTGAAGATGGTGGCAGGAAAGTTACGTTAAGTAGTAATCTCGCTCTGGAGCGTTCGAAACCTTAGATAACAGCTGGATTGTCCCGTATTCGCCCATTCTATGTAAAATGTTTAATGCCCACATTAATGTAGAAGCATGTAGCTCTGTCCGCGCAATCAAGTATATCTGTAAGTACATAAATAAAGGAAGCGACCAAGCAATATTTTATTAATTCTCAGGAGTGAAGGTGAGGCAAATCCCGTTAATGAAGTACAGACCTTTCAAGCAGGGCGTTATGTCAGCAGTAACGAGGCAGCGTGGCGTCTCCTTGGCTTCCCTTTACACGAAAGGCACCCAACAGTTACTCACCTTGCTGTGCACTTAGAAAATGGAGAGCGTGTATATTTCACCGAAAGAAATTTCCAAGAAAGAATTGCATCACCGCCAAAAACTACACTAACAGCCTTCTTTCAACTTTGTCAAACCGACCCCTTTGCAAAAACGTTGTTATATTCTGAAGTCCCGCGCTATTATACTTGGAACACATCTAGGAAGGAGTGGAAACGCCGTATTCAAGGCGCGCCTGTTGCAAATTGGCCCGGTGTAAAGTCATCACATGCCCTTGGTCGTGTGTATACCGTCCATGTAACTAATTTTGAATGTTTCTGTTTACGATTGCTGCTACACCATGTTCGCGGTCCTACAGGATATAAAGACCTTAAAACTGTCAACGGTCAGGAATGTGCAACTTATAGAGAAGCATGTGAAGCTCTGCATCTTTTAGAAAACGATAATCACTGGGATGAAACCATGGGGGAAGCTGTGCAGTGCCACCAGCCAAAATTAGGGATCTTTATGCAACTCTCATATCATCTTGCGGACTATCTAATGCAGATGAATTGTGGGACAAATATAAAGAGTACATGACGGAAGATATTTTGCGAAGCTTACAGCAGACACACGCGAACATAACATACAATGAACACATTTATAATGAAGCACTTGAAAAAACACTTGAATATAAAGTAATGGCAATGGTAGGCAAAAAATTAAGCGACTTTGGAATGATAAGCCCTCAGCGAATAACCAAAAATGAACTAAGTGATGAAATTATACGTGAAACAAACTACGATATACCAGCTTTGCAGCAGCAAGTAGCCGAATTTGTACCGCGCTTGCTTCCCGAACAAAAACGAGTTTTTGACAAAGTATTAGGACAAATTGAATCTGGAAATGGTGCACTTTTCTTTTTGGAGGAACTGGGAAGACATTTTTGTTAGATTTATTATTAGCGCAAGTACGGAAAGATAAAAACATTGCTGTGGCCGTAGCTTCCTCCGGTATAGCCGCCACGCTGCTAAGCGGGGGCCGCACTGCGAATTCTGTTTTAAAACTCCCTCTAAATCTAGCCCAGGAAGAATCGCCGATCTGCAACTTTAGCAAAAATAGTGCACGAGGTATGATGCTATGACAGTGCAAACTTTTAGTGCGGGACGAAAGTACAATGTCGCATAAAAAAGCTGTAGAAGCACTAAATCGAACGCTTCAGGATTTGCGCAGCAATACCGATGTAATGGGACGAATGGTGGTTTTACTGACTGGTGACTTTCGCCAAACTTTACCTGTCATTCAAAAGGGCATACCTGCAGATGAAATTAAAGCATGCCTCAAGTCGTCTATTTTATGGAACAAGGTGACAAAATTAACTACGAATATGAGAGTGCATTTGTATAATGATATCAATGCTGGACACTATGCTGACACACTATTAAAAATTGGTGATGGGTGGTTGGAAACGGATGCTGAGGGCTGCGTTAAATTGACGAGAGATTTTTGTAATTTAGTACAGAGTCATTCCGAATTAATTGCGAGCATTTATTCAGATTTAACGAACAACATGCATGAAGACAAATGGTTATGTGAAAGGGCGATTCTTGCACCATAAAATGAGAGCGTTAACAAAATAAATTCAGATATATTAAGCGAAGTAGCAGGAGAAATAACAGAGTATTTGACAGTAGACACAGTTATGGACACTGAACAGAGCACTTCATATCCCGCAGAGTTTCTAAATTCTCTAGAGTTGTCAGGTGTGCCCTCACATAAGCTTCAATTAAAATTAGGCGTCCCAGTCATGCTAATGCGAAATTTAGATGCTCCTCGGTTATGTAACGGGACAAGGCTACGTGTGACACACCTTGCACGCAACATAATCGATGCTACAATTTTGATAGGCGTAGAAAAAGGTGAAAATGTTATTATACCACGGATCCCTATAATTCCCACAGATCTTCCTTTTCAATTCAAAAGGTTGTAGTTCCCTATTAAGCTCAGTTTTGCAATGACAATTAATGAAGCACAATAGAATAGCTTCGAACTATCACACGGAGCGTTGGCCGCTCCCCGGGCAGAACACCTTGCCCGGCGGGAGACCTTCCCTTTTCCTAGCTCGGCTACAATATAAATAAATAAAAAACTAAAGAATTACTTGTATACTGCCTCGTAGGTATATATTTGTCGCTGACACCGAGAATCTCGATTTTGAACCTACTATCCGGCGGCAGCGGGTCTGTTGTCGTACTAAGTGGGCGCCGATCACACAATATGTCGTCGCAAAAGCATAATTTTAAAGCCAGAAGTAAAATGAACACCTCCAAAAAGTAACCTGGAATGAGAAAATAAATTCACTATATAGCACGTACTACATTAAATATACTACATAGTTGATCTTGTTTCTCTTAAGATTTATGAATATTTTTTGAACTATAACTAATACTAGTTTTTAAAACATCTGCCCGTGACCGATTTGGGTACCTATATTTTGGCGTAAACGAGATAGTATACCGTAATCTTATTTTATAGATTAACGGTAACAAATGAACACACAGTCCACCTGATGGTAAGTGAATAGTTTGGCCCATAGATATCAACGTCTATTCTCGATTAAGAATCAAAATGCAGATGCGTTGTTACCCTTGAGAACTAAGACAGAATGCCTCGTTGCCAATAAAATTGGTCTCCAGTTCTCTACACTCACTGAGCTGCTATCTTACGCTGGTATGCTGTGAGAACGTAGTACTTGACCGGTCGAGCCAAGTCATTTGTGTTACAATCATAATGTAGCTGCAGCACGGCTCTACCACTTACCGATCGTTTGGTACTACGCCTTTGAAAAATAATGTACCTTGCAAGCCCTTTACAGAAATCTAGGAAAATGAAACATAGCGATAGAAAATAAAGCATGAAGGTTAGTAATTTTCTTAAAAAGATTTTTTTTCAATTAAGTGAAAAAATTCTTAGCACCCCCTGTAGAGATGGAGTAACGAACTGGTAAGACATGCAGGAAGTCGATGGATGCAGGTGGGTTAGAACCGTACTTTGTGGCATTCCTTGGGTTCAGTAGTGGACTTGTGAAGGGCTGTTGCTGCTGTGAATGATGAATGAATAAATTCCATTCTCCAAAGACGTAAATACAAAAAAAATAAGTTTAAGAAACAAAACTAAGAAAAAGGTTTAAAAAATAAGAAATATGTTGCAAGATTGGATCTCTAGTAAAGTCGCTGTTGTTGAAATGTGAAACGATAAGGATAACATCGTTAGTGTTGTTACTTCACTCAAAGGTAATTTTGATATACTATACTAACTTGGTGTCTGTGACAGGATATACAGGATTATTTTGCAATAACCGGCCAAATTTGCAAAAAAGGTTCATTATGTAACTATATTCCTTATTCTAAACCTAGGCAAATGTTGAAGAAAACTTAATGAAAAAAAATCTCAGACATTCTATCCTTTTTGTCTTTTAAATTCAAAATGCACGGTAATGTATATTTTAACTGATCTTAATGCGCACGAAAACATTCGTAAGGGTCGATTGGTAGGCAAAAACGTTGTTCGCCGTGTTACCAACTCTATCAACTTTTCGGTAGATCTACCGAAAAGTTGATCTTTTAGTATCTAACTCCTATCTACTACCATGCAAAAAAATCAACCAACTTTTCAAATTTTTGAAAAACTTTAGTGTCATATCCGCAAATATTATATTAATGCCTTCAATTTTTTTTCATCAATGTATGTTTTTATTTACCTGATCCCTTAATGAGTTCATTGAATATTGAGATTGTAGTATCTATAACTCCTATCTACTACCATGCAAAAAAATCAACCAACTTTTCAAATTTTTGAAAAATTTTAGTGTCATATCCGCAAAAATGATATTAACGCCTTCAATTTTTTTTCATCAATGTATGTTTTTATTTACCTCATCCCTCAATGAGTTCATTGAATATTATAAAGAATAGCGACAGGACATTACTTTATGATCTGACCAAAGAGAATATAATCACTACGTTTAAGCAGCGGAACTTCCTTAGTAATAGCGTTTGATGGGCCAAATATCAGTAAGTCCCAGCCGGATATCACGCAGAAACTAACGGAGCGCAAAGATGACCTGAAGCAAAAAATTGCTGCTTGGAGGAAGCGGGTTCGACGATTTACCGAGAAGTCAAGGCGATTGAACCAGATTCGTCTCTTCCACAGTGATCAGAAGAGGCTCTATAAATCATTGGAGCGACAAATGGTAAATGGCACGGGCCCACCACCGGATCACGCCGCCACTGTGGCATTCTGGCGTGGTAGTGGTCAGAGCCCGTAAGCTACAGGGAGGGCCCCTGGACGGAAGTTGTGACTGATCGTGGGGCCGTATGGAAGCAGGAGTTCCACGGGAGGTTTTACAAGGCTCTACATGAGCCTTTCGTTGATACAGTCGCCTCCCTCAACTGGCTACGTTTCGGTGATCTATTCGGGGAAACCGAGGGTTTTGTCTGTGCAATACAGGACCAGGTTATCAAGACTAGCAACTATCGAAGATACATACTAAATGATTGCACCGTCGATATATGTCAAGCTTGCCGTCACGTCATCCCGGTGTCACTTAGGCATGGCCGAGGATTGTTTCGGTTGTTCGGCGCTTTCTTACTCTAAGTACTTGCACGGGCACAACCTATTAGCCAGGATGTTATACCAGGAGCTCGCTCTGAAATACGGTCTCGTGGATCGGAAACTGCCTTATTATAAGTGCTTGCCGGAAGCCGTGCTCGAAAATGACCGCGCCAGACTCTACTGGGAACGAGCCATCATCACGGTCAGGACTATTTTTGCCAATAAGCCTGATATTGTGCTCATGGTCTGGACATAGTCAAGGATATTTTTGGTGGACATTACGATTCCGTATGACGTGAATTTCATGAATGCCGAAACAGATAAGCAAACAAATTATCTGGACCTGGCTCACGAGGTGACAAACATGTGGGGTGGTCTGCAGACCGAAATTATTCCTGTAGTCGTCTCTGCGAATGGACTAATCCCGGTCAGCCTCTCGGGTCATCGAGGTGACTGGGACGCCGTGACGGACCGTTCCGAGCTCAAATGCAGAAGGCAGTGCTCCTCGATACCGCTCGCATCGTCTGCCGGTTTCTTTCCCTTTCCCCCTAATCCTTGGTCTCCCTTTCCGAGAGCTATCATCTGGTTGGCCTTTTATTTATTTACTTTTTAATAACTTCAGTGGGAAGTTGAAGACATAAAAAATGGGTCCGATTTTGCAAATTGGAAATTTTAACATATCTCCACGTTTCAAGGTCTTTAGAGTCGAATAGTAAGGTTTTTAAGAGGATGTCCATGTGTGCACATGTACGTATGTATGTATATTCGGATTCAATTTTAGCCTCGTGTATCTAGATAACAAAGAGTGATATTGACATGGGACTAGTTTCATTTAACGCATAATTATGGAACTTAGACCTCATTACATTTTGAGCAAAATCGGTCAAGTCTTTTTTGTGCCGAATGAAAAATTGTATATTATATTAATAAAACATACGATATTTTTTTATTTTTTCCACTGGGAAGTTAGTCGTGTGGACCTTTAGACCTAAACCAGGTATGACCCGAAATGTATGGCTTTTTTATTTATGTAAGTATATTAAATATATACTTATGTATATTAAATTATTTTATTTATCAATTAAAAAAGACGGCTCCGTGTCGCCGTGGCTTAGCAATGAGTTACAGCGCTAAGGGCCGCGGGTTCGAATCCCGCACGGAACAAGCATTTGTATGGCCTACAAGTAATTGTTCCGAGTCTGGATGTTTGTCCTTGTGAAATTTATGTTTGTAAACTGCCCCCACGATACAGGAGAAAATCATAGTATGGAGGTAACGTTTCTTTAGAAAAAGATTTAATTAAAAAAAATCCATTTATATATTTATTCAACCCAACCAGATGAGAATATTCTATTAATACCCCGAAAATAATAATATACTCTTCGTCACTTGTTTACAGCATTTTGACGCATTTTGTTATTAAAAGCTTTTATATAACTTCACTTGTATGTATGCCCTGGAATTTTTTACGGCTAGTCAAGCGCAAAATTATCCAAAAATATAATTATAAAATTATAAAAAGTCCAAAATATATAAAATAAGGTTTTTAACGATGTAAGTATGGTATATTTTTTCCTGTACGGAAGAAAAAACCAAATCGGACCAAGAATAGATTTTTAACATTGTTAACGTATTTTAAAGAAAATATATATTTTAATGATACATAGTAATAAGTGTTTTGCGCAATCAAATGGTTTAGATAAATCAATAAACACATTAAGCGTAATTAGTGTGTTTGTGTGCTTCTTACGAGTAGCACTATTAATGGGTTCCTGTGTAAAAAGAAACTCATGATTGACAGGTAATCATGCCTAACATGTTAAAGGCTTGTTGAGTTACTACAAGTAAATTCAAATACTGTAACTGCCACAGTATTGAATTTTTTTATGTCTTCATAAAAAATAAGACAGGATGTGTTTTCGAAGCTTTCAAAACAAAGAAAAATGTACATACATTTTGACATTTTAAGTATAAATAATTAAAGAATTTTGTATGAACATCCTTTGTCAATTAGAATTTTAAAAAAAACTTAACTCACCCATTGATATTGATATCATTTAGTACACAACTGTTTACTAACGTGTTAACAGGTCATTCTGACGGGTTGGAATACTAGGCGATTGCCGTAGCGCCGGCCGGTGGCTTTTAATTAATGTTAAATTGTTACATCACAGTTTAAATTGCCCCGCCTCCACATCCTTTACAGTTTCCACCAAAGAGAATATATTCAGTACGTTTAGTTTCCACTGTCCTTTCGAATGACGTTTTGTGCGAACTTCAACTCTATTTCATTGAGCTAATAGAAAATAGGCCATTACGAAGCGACAGAAGAGGGCAGAGGAATGTAAAAATTCAACTACGATAAAAAAAATCGGGAGAACAATAAAACGCCTTTGACCTAAGCAACTTCGTTTATTTTCAACTATTTTAATTAATAAACGTACGTATAAGTTTTAGTAAAAAATCTGAAAATCTATACAAATAAATATAAATTGAAATGTCTGTTTGTAATGTCAAAATAACAGCTTTTTACTAAATTCATATAAAATTATATGTGTTATTAATATATATATATCAAAAAACATTTAGAAAAATTATCGATCTTAGGAATCACATAAAAAAATTAATTCAAAACATGCTTCTGAAAAAGAAAAAACTGCTGACGCATTAACCAGTTACCAACCTAATGATCCTAAGAATTCCTCTGGAGTAGAGTTAGATCATTACTTAACGGTACCAAGGACCGCAAGAGATGCAAATCTATATAAATGGTGGGTTTCTAATAAATACCCTACCTTGGGAAAAGTTGCGGCTCAACACTTATCAACACTCGCCAGTTCAGTGTACAGTGAACGGCTTTTTTCAGAGGCTAATTTTTATTATAGATTCTTATGTACGTTCTCAATATTTCCCATGTTTCTGATGTTTTAATGTGTCTAATATTTTTTGTCTTTATTTTTCTCTGGAATACAATTAAGGCCGAGTACTCGATACTCGGGCGTTAATACTCGGTGTTCAACCGAACCCTAAAAAAAGGCTGAATCCGCCGAGTACCGAATCCAAACCGAGTACTTGTCCCATGTCTAATATATATATGGTACAGATAACAAAAAAAAAACAATTTTTAAAATATTCGTCTCTCTGTCTGTCTGTTACAGTTAATCTCCGAAACAGCTGGACTGATTTTGACGCAACTTTCACTGGCAGATAGCTGATGTTATAAAGAGTAATTAGGCTACTTTTATTTTAGAATTATGGTTCCGTGCAAATGAATTAAAACCCATGAAATTCAAACTTAATGAATTCCATGCGGACGAAGTTGCGGGGTAGGTCTCAGTTTTGCCTATGGGCATTATAAAAATAAATCATCTCTGTAAAACTATTATGGAGGAAAACTAATAAAGTATTGTCAAATTCATCTGATGGTGGAATATCTAGCAGTAGGTTTAAAAAGGGTTATTTGTTAAGAAGAATGGCAGGTATCATAAAATCGCTCGTTATTTATTTCAAGCCTCGGAATAGAGTGATAACTCTTTAAACTTTCATGCATTTTACTCCCATATTTTTCTGAATCGCTTTAAAATACAAGGGTTTATAGAGTTCGATTTTTATGTGGGCTAAATACTGATGATTAATACTACTTATTATAACTTGTATTATATAGGTCAATGTGTAAGGATATGCCAAAAAAAATTTTTTTTGGTGTGAAATAACTGCATCAGTAGGAATACATGCATGGTTTAAAAGAATGTAATGTATGAAAATCTGCGAATAAGCGGTTGTGGAATAAATAAAACAACGATATTCTAATTTTTTTTAATTTTAAAATAAACAATTATTTAAACTTATGTATTATTAGCTCTCAGCAATAAAAGGAGGGCTCTTTGCCTAGCTTTGGGGCGCATAAAATATATTATTTTATTATTACAAATTACTGTATACTTAAATTTCTTATATTATTTTTCTTTATTATTCACTGACATTATTTAATAGTTTGTTCTTAACTAATACGTTAAATAAACAAAACAATTGAGGTGGAAGTTGTTTACCGTAATTTAATTTGAATAAAATAATAAAATTACAATTAATTTAAAACTAGATAAAATTACAGTAAAAAAACTGATACCTATAATTAATATGCAGTATAATTTAAAATTTGATCAGGTGTTCTCTCCTACGATTTCCACGGATAACTCAGGATCGCTCAGCTGAAAAATTATGCGTTCAGTTATTGTTATTTTCAACATACACTCAACCCACAACAGATTTTTGCAACAGTTTCCACATCAATAATGTCTGAGTGTGGTAACACATAATAGGGAGCTTTTAAAAACTTTAATGGGCAACACTTTCTCCCAGGACAAGTAAAAACTTATGTAAGTGTGCAGTCATTATAAATTCGTGAATTAATTAATTTCGCGTTATGATTGCAATCCCAAATTTTTTATCCTAATAATATAAATTATCAAATAAATACTATTACACATTATTGTCATGTAGTGTTAGCATAAGAGGATCGACTACCCCATATCATCCCGTGGGTGTCGTAGACGACAGAGGGAAATGAACAAGAAGTGGGCAGCAGCATCTTCCTGGTAACAACTCAAAATAATAAGAGACTGCGGTTTTCGAGCCGCCTGCCACGCGTTGCAACTATGGCAATTAATATGATATGTATTTAAACACATATGATCAGCAGATAAAAACACCCAGACCCGAAGAATTATTAGAAGGCCACACAAACACTTGATCCGTGCGTGATTCGAACCCGCGGGTCACAGCGGCGCAGCCAAACGCTTAGCTTAGTGCACGTTAACTTAATTGTGCATCGTAACAGAACATTGATGATATATTTTTTTATGTAAAATTGCTTGGTATGTTTCGGAATGAGCAGAGGGGAGAAATTAAGTGCAATGTAGACGGATACGTCGAGTAATAAAGTTGTGGGTAAAAAGGGCACGACCATGTCCTTACCTGTTAGCATTTCGTTAGAGAAATCATCGGAACAGACGTCCTCGCATTCTATTCTTTCAAATGTGTCATAATGGAGCTTGCAATATTTCGGAACCTCCTTAGTCGCTGTATATTTAGCCTATTTAAAAGAAAATATAACTAGATTAAGATTGACAAACTCTTATACTAGTGATTATATCTTCTCTCTCTCTCTCTCTCTTTTTTTTATATATATATATATATATATATATATATATATATATATATATATATATATATATATATATATATACACACACACACAAATGGTGTTGCTAAAATGCAAAACCGGCTTGTGAGCTTTTGATGATTTTTGTGTGTTTTTGAATGGGGTCTCTAAGATGGTTTTAATTCACATTTGTACCCGGTAGATGGCGCTGTTGTCGAGATCCAGAAATCACCCGTGACGGATGATGAAGCCGAGGCGGATCGCTGGAGTAAAGCTGCAATATTTATACTCATGCAAACAAATAACTCTCCTGAGCTTAATAGAAGCCAGTTATTTGAATGTAACAGACAGACATTTCAATTTTATTTATACGTATAGATACATAGATTAAGGCGTCGTAGGTTCGCTTAGGTAAGTTCTAGTTTGAGTAACTTTTCAATAAGAATTGTGTAACTTTACATGGTATGGCCACGCTGCTTCTGTAATAACGTTGCCGCACGAATGGGTCGGCTCAATCGGGGAAAGGACCACGCTCTCACAGAATAGCAGCGGGAAACACGCTGCTGTATGACGAGTGTAAAATAACTGAGACCCTCTTTACTAGCAACGAGGCATTGGTCTATAGATGTAACAATGTATCCAAATTTTGATTCTAAATTGAGGATAAATGTATGTAGTCTTTTTATGGGCTACACCATCTACTTACCATCAGTTGGACTGTAAAGCCTTTGCCTTTATCACCCTAACTAATATTAAGAAAGGAATTGCCAAGAAGCGCATTCTCAATAGGACTTAGAGTGACCAACTTACATAAGGATCATATTTTTCAACAGCAATACCATCGACTAAATGATATCGCTCCCGCCACTTGTACCCGACGACCTGACCGTCGATACACTCGCCCTCACACTCACTCCACTCCTGCCACTGTGACATGGGACAGTCCTCGGGTGACTCGGTGTCCGTAACTACAGGATTCTCGCTGTAATTGAATTATTTACTTTATAAATTTAGGCCGACAGCTAAAAAAAGTATAAAGACAAGAAGGCAACCATCTTTCAATCCATCATGTTAATATTTAATAGCATCAAATCAAAGCGAAAAAATTGGATTATATTAATTTTTTTATGATTTACACGATTACAAAATAAGAAAAGTAAAGTTGCTATTATAGCACAATATACATATTCAACTTTTTGTAGGTAATTGTATTTTTATCTTTTTCTATGCTTTATAGCCCGTTTACATTTTCGCAGCGGCGAGGTGAGTCGCGAGGCGAGCCACTCGCTGCGCTCGCATCGTAGGCGGTTTTTTAGGCGCGAGTCAAAGGGCCTCGCGAGGGATGCGAGCGTGGTATTTACACTCGCGCTCTTGTTTTAGTTGTTTTATGGCGCCCTTCCGTGAAAATCGTTATTTTTAAAGTTAAAACATTATTGAGGTTCTTTTGTTACAGAATAGACCTCTAAAATTATTTAGAATTTTATTCTATCATGTCAGCTACTATGCACATGCACGTCATTATCATATGTTGTTTGCCTTAATTTTCTACAATACCTACAAATATTTTCTTTTAGCAATATGTGTAATAAAAAATCTATATTTTGCTTTCAGCAGAGAACTGCAGCTATATTATAGTTGTAGCATAAATGGGTCGGATCGACCGGGGAGGACCACGCTCTCACAGAAAACCAGCGTAAAATAGCAGCTTAATACTGCTGTGTTACGTATAGTGAGTGTCGTAGACGACAGAGGGAAATGAACAGGAATATCCGGAGACACATTTTTACTGGCAACGAGGCATTCCATTATAGTCCTCAGGGGTAACAACGCATCTGCGTTTTGATTCTTAATCAAGGATAAATGTGTTTAATTTCCTTCTTTCTAAAATGGTCAAGCATCGATAAATACTTATTAAGGCAAAAGTTGATGCCGTTGCTGGATCAACGCAAAATGAACGCATCGCGAGAATGTAAACAGGCACTCGTTATCTCGTAACAACACGCGAGCTGCGAGGCGAGGTACGAGGCGAGGCGCTAGGCGAGAGTGTAAACGGGCTATTACTTGTAACAACACGTGCCACTGACGCGGCGGACTGGAGTAGCACAATTATACCCGATACCAAACTGTCCGTCATTTTATGCTGGAGGAAACCGTAGGTGTAACACTTAAATAATAGCCTTCACTACGAAAATCACACATACCAATACAAACAATAAACTAGCAATTTTACATACACATACATAGATCAATTTACACAGAATCGCTCGGAGACAGCGACAACTCGGCTACAGACTCGGATCAGTCACGTGAGCAATCTGCATATTGTATGAGAGCGAACGGCCTGTGTTGATACACAAGTCCGAAACAACAACGTAATTATTGTAATTTTTAAGTTTAAAGAGAAGTAAATAACAATAATTTGATTAAAATTACTTATGTATAAGAAAGTTAACGCCATCTTCTTGTAAATTTGACATGGCAAATCTCTTTTTACATACAAGAAACTATACAATTTAGGTATTTTTGTACAACACCGATTCAGACGAGCAGCCGCACTGCTCACAACACTAAATCTAGTTAGATTTAGTGTTGTGAGCAGTGCCGCTGCAACTAGTTTTATTGTACGCTTAGGGCCACATGGACTTATACTTTGACTGGGTATGACTACTCCCCTCTGATCTACCGGTGGCCCGTGTTGCTCTATGTAGTTTTATTGTTAATTGTTGTGAGGTACCTGTTAGCCTGCTTTTCTTTCCTAACGTTTACCCCATTCTTATTAGTTTTTAGGTAATATAGTACATACACATTACACACCAACAAATCTCAATTTTATTACATACCTATGCTATGCCTATGTGTTGCTTAATAATAGTGAATGACGCGTGCATTTCATAAAGTAGGTATATTAAAATGGGTAATTGAAAATTAAATTTCCAAATGTGGATTCTAATATTATTACTTTTAACAATTTACTTTAATTTCTTCCTTCCCTTTTAACCAATACAGTAGACGCGTACAGCGAAGAAGTGCAATAGATCCAACATCTGTGTTCCCATCTGATTAAAACAACAACGTGAGCGTCAAAGAGTATAACATAACCTCTACATTTATGTGTCCTTAGCTTTACCTTCTTGAGCTACATGACTATTTACCCTTAGGTGGAATAGTAGTCAAATTCTGGCTTATAGTTATTAAAATGCGCTAAAATTAATATATAATAAATAGGTGAATAGGTAAATAAATTTAAAGATATCATGTTATCTCAATGCTTATTAATAAAGCCTAATAAGAATACCTAAATTATAAACAATCACTAAAGAAATTCACTAACATAGAGTTCTTTTTCAATTATGACTGAGAGAGCTTTTTCAATTTATATTTATATTGAACTGTCCATCTGTTGATGATTGGCTAGTGTATCACATAGCCACCCTCAATTGGCTTTAAAAAAAGATGCGTCTTCAACCTTGATGCCAAGATAAAATGCACAACAGGCTGTAAATATACTGACTCTGACACTATTACCCCATCTATCAGGAAAATACAGCACACAATATAAATTTTTGAATAATCATTAAACCCGCTGTCTGAATATATATTATTGTATAGGGAACCTGTTGAGCCTTGGCACTATGTGTACCTAGCCTATTAGGCTCATTTCAAATATAGTCGTGATGCTAAATTGTATTGTCTATGGTATTCGGTACGTCCGTAGACAGAGAAACCTATAGACAAATTAACGCCTTCTTTCGCATTCGTACACGATAAAGATAGATTTATGCATACGTCTTGCATAGAAATGAGACAGAGCGGTGTGATTGTTTGTTCCTTTCTCCGTGCCGGTTTTTTTTTGTACTTTGACAGTTCGTAGCGATCTAAGGAGTTTCCAAGTTGGTTTAAGTGAAAAAAAAGTGTTTTGTGAGCTTAAGATTGGTAAATCTTGTTCAGTTCAGTTCTTAGAACAATTAAAATGTTTATCTAAATATGTTTAAAAGTCATAGAGATTATGGTATAACCTAAAACTACGTTATCGTCCTTTCTCACTCGAGGGCACGCATATCATTAGTCTACAAGTTTCTCTGTCTACGGGTACGTCACTACCAACTATTCAATGTGAAGTTAGTCACTTGCCGCCATTAAGTAAATGTTTGGTGTTATCGACGTTAAAACTTTTTTTGGCGAAAAAATTAAGTATTTCTTATTTACTTTGCAGCCGGATATTTTTAAAAGTATTATAATAATCACTTGACTTTTAGTTATTGGTTCTTTTATTTAATAAGTGTTAAAATAATCATAAGCTTGCGAGATAAGTAACCTCAAAATATTTGAAATCTACCGTTTTTTTGAAGTCGGAGTAGTGTTTACCTCGTTCACTGTCGATCAGTTGTACCTTGATCAGTGGCCAAGGTACAACCTGGAAGTTGTAGGTACTTTGGCCAGTAGAATATTTTTTTAAAATTATTTCACATTCAAGTAACATATTCCTAATCAAATACATTTATTATTTCAGGAACCATGCCTAGAAGCAAACAAAATATGGATAATCTAACAAATGTCTTTAAAATGAATAAGGAGAAAAAATTCTCAACCTTCACTGCTTCCAAACATTTTGGAATACCAAGAACAACTTCGCATCGTCATCTAAAGCACTGTATGGAAAAAGGTAAGGATGTAAGCAGGTTACACGAAAACCTTGCAGTTAATCAAGTTTTTGATCGTATTGAAGAACATAGTCTGGTTGACAATATAATACTCGTAAAGATGCAGCACTCTTACAAGTTAGATTGGCTCTAAAAGACGTGAAAGTACTTGCATACCAATTTGCAAAAGCGAGCGGAAAAAGTACCCTAAGAATTGGGATACAAATAAAAGGAGAAACAGTCTATAAATATTTTGGCAAAAAAAGTTAGTGAATAAAAACAGAATAAACAATTCAAATATCAATCTGATATTATCGGATCAAAAGAAGAATTCTATCAGAAACAGAAAGTAATGAAGGTTTTATCGACTATTCACTGAGTGGCACACATCTGAGGATGTCTCCAATAATAACAGCGAGGTTGAGAATCTACAGGCTGAACAAGTTAATGTTAATAAAGAAAATTACAATATTGGAGACTATGTTATATGTGTATACGAAGGTTTCTATTTTGTCGTAAAGATAGAATCAAATTCTGAGAAGGGTGTTTTACTGAAATCAATGCAAAAATCACTTAAAAACTGGAAATGGTTTGAAAATAAATGACAATACAGAAAAAAATTAAAACCCCGCAAAAGGTTAACAAAAACAGAGAAATTTATTATATTCCAGAGATACAGAAGTACTGCGATTTCTACTAAATGCTTAAGGCTGAATAGTATATCTAGATAATACTAGTGTTTTATAAAAGCTGGTCCTAATGACTGATTAAAATTTGAGAGCGAAATACTTAAGAATTTATAAAGTTGATTGTTTAAATATTTTATTTTCTATAATTGGTAAGCTATGTAGGTTATAATTATGTTGATTTGCTATAAAGGTAATATGTTACGTTATGTTTTAAAAAATGTACCCTAGGTAGGTTTATGTACTGAATAATTTTAAAGTTTGTCATGATAAAACAGTGATTAAAGGTTTGTCATTTTTTGTTTAAAATATTGTTTCTTAAGAAAAAAAATCTACGTTTATTATTTTAATTTTATTCAGAATTTGCTATTTTTTTGTTAAATATTTTACTAAACCGAATAAAACGATTTAGTTAAGAAAAGTTAATAGTCTAGGTACACCGTAGTACTGGCCCAGGTACATAGGGTGTGTTTTACCTTGGCCTTTATTACTTTATTTTTAATTTTTAAAACACACGTAAGTATGAAATATACATTCCTAATATTGTGGTGGTGAATACTCAAAAAGTTGACCCTTCAAAATATGCAAATATGGTTGATATACAAAACGTCAAATCACAATAAAAATGGGTATCCAAAAAACTGTCCTAGGTACAA